TTCGAATAAAATTTTTAGTTTAAAACAAAAGTTGTCCTGGCCATGTTTGAAGAACTTATTATTTAAAACAATTAAATTTGAAGTTGAAAATTTTTGCTTAAAATTCCTCTTGGACATAGATTAAGATAAAATTTACAAGAGAGAGAATAACACATGTGCGTAACATCTTCATTGTTCTATATTTCCACGAATCGTTATCAGTTTTTATTTCCACGTTTTTATATCAGCATTCCGTTTCTTTCTTCTATTGTTCACTAGACTTTCTCTGAAAAATTCAAAAATATATTTCAAAATAACTTTAATTAACTTATTCTTTATTATTTTGATGATTGAATTTATTTATTGAAATTAGAACTTTCATTGGCTTTCATTGACTTGCACTGTTTTTTTTATTAGAATTGAAACAGGTAAAACAATTTTTGCCCATCATTGAAGGAAAAAGCAAAACAACGTGTGATTTTATTTTTTCAAAATTTAATATTGACTTTTTGCTTAAATATTAGGTGGCATCATAATGAAGCACACCAGAAATGTATAGAAGCTAACTTTATGAAACTTTTACTTCAGTTTTCCACTTTAATTTTGAAGTTTTTCACTAATTAAAAAATTATTTCTTTGAGAGCTGAGATTTTTTTACTTTGCACCCTTTCGATATCGAGGGGGAATCTCTACCTTCTAAGGTAGTAGAATGTTCTGTACTAAAAACTTTGGTAGATAAATTTATTTAGTACAAGACGATAAGATGAGAATAAACTTTAGGAGAAGAGAATTTTAACTCTCAGTTTAAATCCTGAAGTTGAACAATTAACATCGTCTGAAAATTAATTAATTTAAATGCAGTGAATTGTGGTCATTTTGATTACGTGTTATTTAATTTCATATCGACAACGTAGCAAAAGTGAAAGTGTTTAGTTTCTGTTAAATTCTTTGTGAAGTGAAAGTGAGCGAAAAGTTTTCAAAATGGAGATTACAGAACGTGTGTTGAAAATTCTTAGGTTGCTGTGATATGAAGAAAACTTGGTTAATTAGCCCTTTTCAAGCACTCATTTCTTCAAATTGGATTACTTTGGAGATTGAAAGCTCCAAGTGAAAATAGGTAAGTTGTAATTAAGAAGATTTTCGATAACCGGAAGAATTTTAATCTTTGTTGAAGCATGATTCAAGAATATATTTTTTTGCAATTTTCTGTTCAAATTTCGGCTCCTAACTTGAAATAGGAAAAGTTTTGTTTAATCTTTAAGGAAAGTAATTTACTGTTGCGTCGTATAACCAAATCGCTTCGATTTCTTTATCACTTTTTCTATTTAAATTATTTCCATTAATTCTTTTGATGAATTTGATTTCATGTTGTGTAATTGTTTTATAAGTCCCATTCTGTGAGATTTTCTGTGGGATCAGAAGATTCCAAAGATCTAGCATACATTGGACTCATTTTATGGCGAAGCACACTTGAAAGACGTTACGGAATGCAATAACGCCTTGTAACGGAGGACGATTACTATAACAACAATGACGTCAGATATTTTGGTCTTTAAATGCATCAGCAAATGATTCTGTAGTGCCATGCTTTATTCCTAATAAATCTTTCTTCGCTACATTCCAAACTAGCAAGAAAATTTAAATTTATTGTACAAATTGTGAAAACCCCGCGATTCCTCGTCTTCGTTCGTGTCTGCGACTGTGATAAAAAATAAATAATCTAAAGCTGATAAAAACAATGATAAAGAAACAAGATCGAGATTCGACGAAATTCTCTCGCTTTAAAGAAATGTGAAGAATAAGAAAATCATTTTAAATAAAGTTGTTAGAAATTACAGAAAATTTTCTTATTTTTCCAGTTGTTAATATTGCACAAATGATTTCTAAATTCATCGATAACCTTTTTGTAAAGATTTTGAGCTTTAAATAATTTTTCTTGTTGTCCTTAGGTGATGCTCCAATTTGATTCTGATGTTGGCTTTGGATGGCTGAATGGAAAGAACTTAACGATTCGCAATATTTGAGATTATGCATATTCAAATTCATCATTGAAGCTTTATCAGGTAAGGACTTCCAAGAAAAAACGAAATCTTTCATTGAAGTTATCGATGAATTTGATTTCATTTTGTGTAATTGTTCGTAAGTCCCATTCTGTGATTTTTTTTCTCGTGAGAGTTGAGAGGTAAATAAGGAAAAACTTAAGAGCCGAACATTTAATTAATTTTCAGCTATCAAATATCCTCAAAAAATAAAAAATAATTAAAAAAGACATTTCAAAGTGACACACTTTGAAGAAAAATTTAAAAATGACGATGTAATCCTAATAATTACTGATAAAATAGCCAAAGAAATATTTTTTCCTCACACATGCCGAAACTCTGCTGCTCTGCAAATTCTTTTGTAAGCTACTCTGTTAACAAAAACAAACACCTCTGTTCTGAAAAAAATATATCACAATGCAATTTTGAAAAGGAAGTCATAAGCACAATAAAAGTAATGAATAAAAAAACCAACACGAACGCATTCTCTCTAAATTTTTTCTCTTATTCCAAATCACTCGAGATTTTCAGACATTTTGTAAAAGGCAACCACAGAAAGAAGGTAAGAATTTACAAAAGATTTTCTCTGGTAAATATCACCAGCTTTTCCAGGCAAAAAAAACGCAAAATGAATGCAGAAGAAGTTAACGAAAATTCAAATGACATCAATGATTATGATGCAGAAGAAGATTATATCAGCGTTAGTAGCGAAGCGGGGTCAACTGGCAACAAAAGAAAGCCATTAAAGCAGCCGTAAATTGAGACATTCTTCAGAAACTGAAAAACAATTACAAAACAAAAGAATTAGCTGAACAGGTGGAAAAACAATTAAGCGTCAATGGAAACGAAGAAACAATTCATAGAGAAAAACTTCTTCGTGAATATATTGAAGAACTAGAAGGAGCCTTCAGGAAAAAAGATGACGAAACGGAAACGCTAAAGAAACAAATGAGAAATATGGCTTGCAATTTTGAAGCACTCAAAAAGCAAGAAAAAAATGATGAGATGAAAGCTTCAACATCCTCTGCTAATGCAATGATGGTTCCAATATCTTCTGCATCTGATCCAAAGGCTCGAACTATCCCAGCTGGTTCAACAAAGGATCCAAATTCTTTTGCTGATAAACTTATTAACGCCAAAACGTCCGATGAAAGCAATCAGAAGAAATCTGTCGCTGCATCCAGCAGTGGCTTTGCTTCAAACCACGTGATGGTTAATGAAGATTTATTGGAAGAAGCGGTATCTTTGTTCAGCAATCCTGAACTTGTCGAAGCGGATAACACAATCTTCATAGCATTCGTTCCCAAAGGCTACCCAAGAGTTGTCTTTGATGAAAATGCTAAGAAAAGCTTCAATGAATTGTTAACCAAAATTGGTAACAATTGCATCAGGGAAGTGAAGAAAGCAGCTGCTGGTCCTAGTGATGCAAACAGGCATATTTCATCACAAATCATTGAAGTTATCGATGAATTTGATTTCATTTTGTGTAATTGTTCGTAAGTCCTATTCTGTGAGATTTTTTGCATCGATTCTTGTTTTTTCAATCGTCGCTCGCATACGTTGGACTCATTTTATGGCGAAGCACACTTGAAAGACGTTACGGAATGCGACAACGCCTTGTAACATTGGACT